CATTTTCGCGGCCTGTAATTCATAAGAGAGCTGTGCCTCAGCCTTCTTCGAGTTCACTTCGCTGTCAAACTGTGCCTTTTGTAGCAAAAAGAGTCGGTGCGAGTCCTCGATCTTTGTGTTCGCGCCGTACTTCACATCCATTGCCGACTTCTCGCACTCGGCCTCACGTATACCGGCGTCGCGTTCGGCCTGAGCCACGCCTACGTTCGCGTCGCGCTTCACAGCAGCCGTTCGCGCCTTTCCCAGAGACGCCAAGTACTCCACGTTGTCGTACACGTCCTTAATGGTGAACGACAGGATCTCTATACCCATCCGCCCCACATCGGGTGTCGCCACTTCTCGCACCAGTGATGCGAACTGATCCCTATCTCTATACACCTCCTCCACTGTCAAAGTGCCCAAAATTGCCCGCAAATGACCCTCAAGTGTCTAAAGTGAGAGAGAGAGAGTGTGTGTGTTATTGCGTTATAATGGCGATGAGTGGTTAAGAGTGGTTAGGAGTGGACAGACCTGAAGGATGACAGACTTGATGTGGTCAACACTTTTGCCGAGAAACTGTTCGGCAGCGATAGTGAGGAACTCCTTCTCCGTCATGACCTTGCATTGGGCGACACCCGTGACAGTGAGGGGCACCCCTTGGCTCGTCTCGACGCTCTCACAACGAGGTGATAATGTCATCACTTGGAGGGACAGTCGCTGCACGTCGGTGACGAGCCACCATGCCCACGACCAGCCACCCACCACCAACAACTTCTTGGTCGACCCGCAACAGCCCCCCGACACCACCAGAGACTCGTTGGGGCCCACAGTATGAATGTTACCCATTGTCACCGCAAACCCCAAACACCCGACACTTCACTCACAAACACTACTAACACCACAAACACTCCCAAACACAACAACTGCCGCTGAGAATAGAGCTCTCTCCCCAACAAAAGGCAACAATTGAACAGAAATAACGTGTAATACTGTACACAACGTTATACAGTATACTATAGTAAAGTGTTGTATTGAAAGCATGATTAGTACGTCATTGACGTCCAATTGGGTATCGTTTCGATGAGTGAGTGAACGACTCAAACGTATATGACTTACAAATTGTCATTCATTTCATTATTTATTTCAATTACTTATTAATTATTAAACAATTAATTCATTTCAATAATCCTTTTAATTATAATTATGTCCACAAATAATGACAACAATTCAGAGACCGATTCAATGGCCGATAAAAGCTCTTCAAGTGATGAAACCAATGATTATATCAACAATAATACAAAGACAATGAGTGATGTGAATAGCGGTGGAAGTAGTGGTGGAAGTAGTGGTGGAAGTAGTGGTGGCAGTAGTGGTGGCAGTAGTGGTGATGATAGCGATCAAGTGATGAGTGGTAACGCGAAGACTGGTTGCGGTCGTTGGGATGATAACAACGATAAGAATGATCCGAATGCGGATCCGTTGTCGTGCAGTTTGATGAGCAGCTCTTCAGATTTGGACCGACAGATAGAACAACTCAGAAGATGTGAAATCATTAAAGAGTCGGAAGTGAAGAGTCTTTGCGCTAAAGCCCGAG